TTATCATCCCTACCTTTCACCCACACGTGAGACTGTCTTGAATACACAGATGTAAATGACCAAAACAACTCAGAGAGAAGAAATGTCCCCTGACTCAGCTCCTGTACCAGTTGCACCTGACATACCTCCTGCAGACATGCTTTATAAATTATATCATCCCTTTCCACCAGTTTTGACCTTGTTATTTTTTTAACAGCAAAACAATGGTCTGATGGTAACTACAAATTTAAAGAGTTGTTAAGGATGATGGAACTCATTCACCAACCTAAGAGAGGGTTGTCTTTAACAATATGTATTTACTCATCATCATAAGAAACCATGAAAGATGGAATTCTGATGTAATTTCAGGTGACAAATACTTACGAAGTGGATATTTTGAATGAAGAACTCTTTGGGGGAATCTCTGTAATTCAGACTCCTATTCCATCTATGTACAATATTTGAAAAGTGCTAAGTTCTTCATAAATGTAGTTAGATAAATAAATATCTGAGTAGATTTATAGTGACCACAACAAGCAAAGAATTCTTTTTCTTGTGAAAATGTGTCAGTGATGATGAATTAGACCAGCTACAACATTTGACCAGAAGTTAGTCTCATTGGAGGGCATATGTGTGAGCATAGAACCCCAGAGTTGGACAGGAATTTTTTGTGCTTGTTTGAAACTTGGCTCTGGCTGGGAGTTCTTTGTCACAGATTTTGGGGTGGGAGAGGGCTTGCACAGGGAAAGCAGGGTGTGCTGACACAGAAAGTGACAAGAACCTTGGCTGGGCTAGGAGTCATTGCTATTCTAGTCACTCCCAGGTGTCTGCTGCTTTAGTTTTATGGGAAAGGAAGGTGGCTTGCCCACTGGGTGAGGAGGAGGAAGGGTATTCCACTTTTATGACTTTTCAACTCACATGTAAAGCCAGACCTCAATATGCTCCTGAGATGGATTTGATGAAACTTTTAGAAATTGTACCTTTCCCATTCACACTGTATGTATAAGCACCTGGGAAAATTGAAGAAAGCTTCAGAATCATCAGCATGCTCCCTACCAATACAAACTAGAACACTCCCCACTTTGGTTGTGATCTAATATTTATGAAGTGCTGGCCACTGAACATATGTTGAATCGCACATATACCAGGTGAGCGAACTGCCCCAGTAGCTATTGTACTAACCTAACAAGCTCACCAGATGCTGCTTATGTATCTACTTTTGCCTTTCATGTTATTTTCAGGGTGTCTTTTCTTCCCAACACTGTAATTATGAGTTAGAAAGAAGATGTTAGGTTGTAATATTTGTGGATGTGAGGATGAAGCCCTCTGAATCATCAAAAAGTATTCCCAGAGTCCTTTCCAAGACACCCTGCAACCAACCACCAAGCTCCAATCCAGGGTACAGAGGAAAGTCCATGATGGGTTGGTAAGGTGTCTTCGTTGCCTGAGGTTATATGGCACTAATGCAACACACATCTTAGGAGACAAAGCGAGCACAGGAGAAGAAATATTGTGCTTCAATACAGGGAACTTGCATTAGGCCCACAAGTTCAGACTTTATTATTTACTGGCTGTGTGAATGTGACAAGCTACTTATCCTTTTTTTTTTTTTTTTTTGCTTTTGTAGCACATTTTGTTTTATTTTATTTTGTATTTTTATTTTTTGGTACCCTGGATTGAACTCAGGACCTTGAGCTTGCAAGGCAGGCAGCAGAACCACTGAGCTAAATCCCGGGGCCTATTTTATTTTTTTATTGACAATGTGAAATAGGAAGAAAAGGGCTAAAGGCGTAGGAAAAGTGGGAAGGGTAGGGGAAAGGTAATAAGGGAAAAGAAAAAATATGAGAAAATGAAAAAATGGAAATAAAGTGTTTGTAAATGGGGAGGGGAGGAGGGGGTGAAGGGAGGGCAGGGACAAGGGGAAAATTGAGAACCAAGACCTGTCATGTAAAGGTACAAGATCCCAATGACGAATGTAACTGTACTATATACCTAGAATGTACCAATAAACTCAATGAGAGAAAAAAATTTTAAAAATGTGCTGTATATCCTTTCTAAGGCTTTGTTTCTTTATCTGTGAAATAGGAACAGATAAAGTCTGGATCTTTGTATGTGTTGGGAGGGGCAAGGTCATGGAAATAGTACCACCTCCACGGTCGGGCAGGGTCATGCAGTTACTTCATAGGGTTCTTGAGGGGATCCTGAGAAATGAAGCAAGGTATTCGACCAAGGCTAAACATCAGTACACATATCAATTGATATTATTCCTGTGACCAGTGACACCAAGTGTCAGGAGTGTGGCAAGGAAATGAGGTGAGCATCAGTTGCTGGGAAAAGAGGAGTTTGGAAAATGATATTTATTGAAACATGGATGTGTGTGTGGGGGGGTAAATATATCTGGATATGTTAAACCCTTAAACTAAGCAAGAGGCCAAGATCCTACGTTACCTGGTTTTCTTATTGTTGTTCTGGGACAAAGAAACCAACAAAGAGGTTCATGGTAGAAGGATTTAACATGATAGAGAGGAAACAAATCTTTACCAGACAAATGTGAAACAAGAATAAGGTGTAGAGCTGGCAGCTGGGAAATCCTACCAAGGCATATTTTCCAAGGATAAAGATTTCTGGGTGTTCCTCACACTCACGATTCATGTGCATGTGGTTTCTGACTTTGGTTTAAGATTAGCCCACTTGCTTCTTAATTGAGGTTTCACTAGTTGTTTTTATCACAAAAGTTCTTTAGGGCTCAAGAGTAGGATTCTTCAGAGAAAAATATGACCATATAATTAACTTATTTAGATTTCTTATAGAAAGCTTTGCATATTGTATCCATTACTTATACATTGATATAAGCAATGGATTTATTAGATATGAAATATTTATTTAGAGGAATTGACTCATGTAATGACCGAGGCTGAGAGGTCCCATAATATAACCTTTGCAAGCTACAGACATGGGGAAGCCAACCGAGCAATTAAGTCAGAGTGAGTTTGGGAGGCTTAAGAACCAGGGGACTGACTGCGTGGGTCCCAGTCTGAGGGCAGAGATGAGTCAAGCAGTGAGGCAGGGAAAAAACATGGCAAATTCCTTCTTTCTCTGTTCATTCCTTCATTTTATCTAGGCTCTCAGTGGGTTGGATGGTGTCCAGCCACATTGGGAAGGTCAGTCTGATTTACTGAGTTACCTACACCCTTCAGTATACATTTAGAAATTTTAATCTGGACTCTCTGTAGTCCTCTTGAGTTGACACACAACATTATCCATCATAGATTAGATTTCTTTTTTCCATTATTTGTTGTACTGTGATTTGAACCCTGGAATTTGCACTTGGTTGTATTCCCAGGGTTTTTATTTTGAGATAGGGTCTTGCTAAATTTTTAACTTACCCAGACTAGGCTCAAATTTGGACTCTTCTGCCTCAGCTTCCCAAGTATCTGGGATTAAAGACAAGTGCCACCAAACCCAGTGAATTTATTTTTTCTTAAAGTGAAAAAATACTCATAGAGGCCTAGGTAGTGCAAAGAAACAGTGCTTCAGTGCTTACTTTCAACTTGCTCATCTCTGCTGGCCACAGGTAAGCCCACCAGCTGCTGCAAAATTTTCTGTTGGTTCTTGCCACAAATTCTGAAAACAATAGTTTTTTTCAGATGTCCACTGACCTCTGATTTGAGCTAAGTATGATCTTTGTTTAAGGCAATTTTCCAAATTACTTAATTCTTCTTTAAGGAATTAGTATCTTACTGTTCATGCCCCCCTTCAAAGTCTTAATCCTAGGTGGGTATAAATGATGAAAGAGTACCAATTAGATTTTCAAAGATTCTAGAGTGAGTCATGTGGATTTCAAGAGGATGCCTCAAATAGACAAGTTATTTTCAACTCATTTCATAAAGCATAACGTGACTATTAATCGTGATATGTCAACTTCATTGGATTTAGAAATGCCTAGCAGATTAGTAGGACATGAGGGGTTTCTGGATGGGTCATACAGGTGTGACCTTGGGTAGCATACTTGATCCCTTGTCCATTTCTTTGTGGAGTGGTTCCCTGCTTTGTTCCCTAGCTGCCACGAACCAAACAGCTTTGTTCTGCTTGCACCTTTCTGCCATGATGTTCCTGGCTTGGAGCCAGCTGACTATGGACTGAATCTCCCAAACATGAGCTAAATTAAACCTTTTCTCCTTTAAGTTGTGAATGTTGGATTTTGTGACCACCAATGGGAAAGCTGTTTGATACATGTGGTAATTTTAAATGATTTTCAGAGGGGAGCTGGAGAAAAGATATATGGTGATATGGAAACAATGCTTCAATGTTGAGAATGAAAAACATAGCAAATGTGAGAAAGAGAAAAATAAATATCATAAAGCCAGTGTTCTGCATATCAAAAGGAGTTATTTGGGGTTCTCTGGGAGACGATGATTCCAGTCCTAGAGGACAGTTCTTAGGAAGGAGAACATAATGCAAAATGAATGTATTTGTTATGAGTAAATGCTATTATAGTCTTGACGAACAGATCATTCAGATTGGTTCTAGTGTCTTCTCACCTGCTTATCATTTTTGCTAAGCTGAAGCTGAGGTGCAGCCTCTGTGGCTAAGGAGAACTAATCTTATCATGGCTCTGGGGACTGAAACTGGGAAACTGCCACAGCCCTTTGAGGAAGTACATTTTAGAACACACCCTTCCTCAGCCATATTGAGCATACTCTTCAAACTGATGATGAAGCTTGTTTTGATGTTTGTATCAATGGGTGTCTCACAGTAACGGCTCCAGGACTGAGCAGGCCTGTGCTTGGTTAACATTTCTGTCCATTTAGAAGGCATTGCATTTTAAGTAAACCAAGAAGTCGCCAATCATTGTGGTGGCTGAAGTATGCATTCTGTGGAACAAAACAGCAGAGATGATGTCAGAGCTATATAACCCAAGTTTAAAATTTAATGTCATTCATTATTCCTATTAAGAATCTGTCTTTTCCTTTGAGTTGCTCTTCACACATCTGCTAAGTAACTTTGTTGTTGGATTTTAGGGCTTGGCACAATATTCCGTCCTCTTTTATGGCTATTACGACAATAAACGAACGATTGGATGGCTGAATTTCAGGTTGCCGCTCTCCTATTTTCTGGTGGGAATTATGTGCATTGGATACAGTTTTGTGGTTGTCCTCAAAGCGTAAGTTTCATTTCTCTGTTGGGAAGCAAATGATGGTTTCTGGACTCAAACAGAAAAGTGACTTGAGAATTGGATATAATTTTGTCCTATGTCATGTCTAGAGGATGTGGAGTTTGTGGAGAGATGAAATGTAGCTTTAATACCAAAACTAACGTTAGACTATTATATCCTCAAAATGAACACAAACACAGGCTTTTGGGTCATCCTACTGGGTCAGAGTGATAGTTGAATGCCTATTTTGTCTTGTGTATTTAAAAAAAATGTGCCTTTTTGTACCCCAAGTTGAAAATCAATGTTGTCAAGAGAAGGAAAGAGCCGTGACTCTTCCTTTGAATGCAGAAAGGCTTGTGACTTGCAGAATCCGCTCAACAGGAAGAATCTGTTCTCTTTTCATTTATAAAAAGCCAGAATAATCATTCATCCAAAAAATTTTAGCTGTGTAAGACAGAAGAAACAAATGGCCCCCAATGAGACCATCACGATCAACTGTATAATCATAGTTTTTCTTGAGAAAGGATTTATTAGGGTATGGGAATGAATATCACTGGAGAACTGATAAAATTGCAGTTCATTTTTCCCCTCCTGCTGGAAATATATTTATAATACCTTACTTAAAGACCCCGAAGAAGTTTAGCAGTTACTTAGGGCTGTGAAAAAAATCCATGCTTTAGTCAATTTTCTGAACTACCTAGGGAGGAAAGTTGAAACATCTCAAGTAAGAGCTCCATTCTTTTATTTGACTATGCACAAAGCAAATTGGCCTTTTGCCTTTTGTGTGTCATACAGTTGATCATGATGGTCTCACTAGGGGCCTTTTGCTTTTTCTGTCTTACATAGCTAAAGTGAGAGGGCACTCCACTCAAGGGTCTAGGAGGGTCCTGTGCACAGCAGCAGCCCTCTGAAGCAGCCTCTGATATGCGCTTTATGTTCTGTGTCTACCTCATTTTCTGATTGCTCCCAAGGAAACAGTCATATTTAGTCTTTTAAGTTCCCTCAGGACTTGAAAAGTGCTTTAATGGAGACTCCATTTTCAAGGTATTTATTAACTTGTCCAAATATAATCAGAGACCCCAAAATAAGACATCTGTCTATCTGATAAAGCACCACCATATTCTAAAAATCTAAGATACTTTCTGGTCTTGTGACCATCTTGTGTAATGGAACTAAAATTGTCAAGACAACATTTCTCTTATTGAGCCCTCATGAGTATTATTTCCATGTAGAACATTTTGTTTCCAGGGCCCATGGGGAAGAATATCTTTGATCATCTAACTACTGTACTCACCTGTTTTTTTTTCTTTTTTTGGTGGTACTGAGGATTGAACCCATGGCCCCAAGCATACTAGGAAGCAGCATTCTATCACTGAGCTACATCCCAAGCCCTCTCAGCTTCTTCTAGTGACTCTGCAGAGCCTGTGTGCCTCAGTGAGATCTTGGGCCATTCTTTTTAGGTTCAATTCTCATTTGTACTTTTTTGTTAGTTTATACGAACACCATCAATAATTTGCTCCTGTTTCTTATTTCTGCTAGCGGTGCAATAGGTGGGAAGATGAAAGAGCTCATACATACAGAGTACTTAAATGTGCTGGCATGTTGAAAGTATTTAAAAATATTTACCATTTTATTAAGGCTATAAAATAAGCACTATTAACAGCCTTATTAAAGAACCAAGCAAACTCAGTATGGTAGAAATTAAGGTCATGTACTGGTACAGAATAGTTTTAAATTATATTTTAAAAAGCTAAAAAAAAAAAAAAAAGAAAGAAATTAAGGTCATGTGATATTTCCCCAAAAGAGGACTGGGTTGGGGATGTACCTCATTGTAGAGCCCTTACTTTCCATGGATTTGATCCCCAGCATCACCAAAAAAAAAAAAAAGCAGAGGAAGGGAAACATATGATTATAAAGTTGTACATTAAAATTTAAATTAAATACAACAGTTTTCTAGCAGATGAATTTAAAGTAGCCATCACATTACTGTAGAAGGCAAACCATGTACATTATTAAAATATCATGGAAGTGGCCTATCTGTCCATCAGCAGATGAGTGGATAAAGAAAATGTGGTATTTACTCACAATGGAGTATTACTCTGTCATAAGGAAAGATAAACTAGATCCATTTGTAGGAACGTGGATGTGCTTTTGAGGCCATAATATTAAGTGAAATAAATCAGGCACACAGCTTAAGTATCCCATAGTTTCTCTTATCTGAGAAACCCAAAATTTAAATAAAGACCAAAATAAAAGCTATAGACAATAGGAAGTAGGGAAACATATTTTTTTTAATGGGAAGGAGATCGAGATATGGGAGTGAGGAGGAAAAGGGGATAAAAAAGGAATGAAGATATGTTACACGTGCACCAACTCCACACAAGGAATATTGTCACTATGCACTATAAACATATAGTACAAACACATTTAAGAACAAGGTAAAAATAATTGCAGTAACATAATTTATTTAGCCTAATGTATCAAAGTATCATTTTAATAATTAGAAAATTACCATGCAGGCTTTTTGGACAATAAGTCTGAAATATGGTATGCATTAAACTCTTTACATTTCAAATACTGAGTAATCACATTTTGCTGTTGATGACCATATTGTACAAAGCCACTCTAGAGGGTGCTTTTGTTGGCTTTCACAAATTAGCCCAAAGATCCCATTTAACATAGCTAAAAGGCCCCCAACTCTAAATGTTCCCTCTCCTAGTCAATCTATGTTATGCAAAACCAGCCTGACTTTGTCCCCTCAGTCTGGCATGGCACTTTGGTTACTTGTTATTGGCAAGTGATATAAACTCAGTCACCTGCCTATAAAGCAAACAATTTAAAAGCAATACGTGTCTCCCACCCCTACTCCAAGCCCTGGGAGAAATAGTCAGTAGAAAAGGAATTGATGGGATGTAAATGATCATATAGAATAATTTTCTATTCCTGTCCATCTCTACTTCCTACCCCAATCAAATTTATGTGATATATTACTTGAATAGAAGGAAGTCTGAGTTCTCAAATTAACTAGGATTTATCAGGACTTGGTCATCTTGTCCATATTGCTAACCTCAGCATCCTCATTCGTAAAATAGAGGCAAATATCTATTGTAATTTTATAATAGGTAAAGTGGAAGGTAAAATGAGATAGTCTAAGAAACAGTCTGAGGTTTTTAGAGAAGTTACCTGTGCCTTCCCAGAACTCTCCCAAGTGTCAGCACTCAAAGTCTTGCGTACTGGGAATCACCCCAGACCCCAAAAAAGTGATGGTTGGTGGCTGTAGTTTTAAGCTCCTCCCTTCCTTTTCTTTTTTTCCAGAACAGTGTACAACCCTAAAGACATTGGAAGCTTATAAATCTTTATAGTAAATAAGTTAAATAATTATTAAGGGTAGATTAGCATAGCATCATGTTGTATAGTTACATGACATGGAAGACATTAGTTCCTTCATGTGTTTGCAGTTTAAAATCCTAAAGTAAATTTGGTTTGTTTTTAAAACCTAGCTGTTACCATTACAAGTAATTCTACAAACTAAACAGTTTGAAGTTTACTGGTAAATTTCACAGCAGCTAAACTTTGGAAAGCACCAATAATTCAAGGAATGTATGACTTAAGATGCATGACTGCTTGATGTCTTTTTTCTCTCAATAGGTTTCTAAGACTTTCTCCTATTGTAGGGCTTCCTAGGATTAAGACTTTTCTGTTAATGAGCCTGGCAACAATATAGTAGGAATAGGCTAATAACATCCTTTAATATTTAAATTATATGTCATATATAATCTCTAAGTGGTATTAAAATTTTGTCTACATAGATTATCTTTTACACATCATAAACCTATATGTGCTACTAAAAAGCATCAAGATATGCATATGAATTTGCCTCAGTATGGCAAGTTGGCAATATATCATCTAGATTTCTGAATCTGTAACAATAACCGTAATATATATTTTAAATGATAATAACAATTAACACTCCCAGAGCATTTATAATGCATTATCATTACCTTTAGCCCTTACACATTACAAAGTAGCTATTATACAAGTTACATAAAACTCAAAGACCATGATTACATGCCTAATATGATTTGACCATAGTAACTACTGAAATTTAGTTTTTTCTAGTTCAAAATGTATCTCCTACCCACCACATCTTGCCACCTGTCTGTATTGTGCTTCTTATCACTTAGAAAAATGTGTTTTTCCCATACATCTTGTATGGTGGGTTGAGTAAGTATTAGTTGTTCCTAGTGAATTGAGCAAGAAATTAAGGCTTAGCAAAGTTTGATTCTTTGACTAAACTCAAATAGTAAATCACAGAACTGATTTTTGAAGATTATCCTTTAATTCAGTCCTTATTTTTCCCAATTCTGGTGAGGATCTATGTTGATGATGACAAGGTTTCTCCCTAAGCCTGTCCTAGGTGGTTGTTTTCAGTTTTTAAATTCCTGCTGATTGGCAAATTCCTTTGGAGTGATCTGACCTTAATACAATTCTTGTGCCCCCAAATTTTGTGAAAATAAAAACAAAACCAGAAAGAAAATTAAACCTATCAAAAGCAACTCTTCATCTTACAAGATTTTGCATATTCCAAGATTTTAAGTCATGGCCAGCCTCTGACACCATTACTACATAAGTGAAAATTTATTTCTTCCTCTCTGTCTAGATTATTGTTGTGCCATCCACTTGCTTTTCATTGTTTTGTATCTGCTTACTCTGGCACCTGTGACCTACCTGATAGCCCACCTAAACACCCTCCCATGGAACCTCAATATTAAAATTATTCCTCCTCCTCCCTTTCACCTCATCACCTTTTAAAGTTTCCTTTTTGGAGGAATTTTTTCTAAGAAGAGAAAAGCAAGCAGAGCCTTTGAAGGACACAGTCTAATATTTTTCTTTCTCTGAGATATTTCTCTGGAGTTGACAAGGTTTGATTTCTCTAATAATGAATTTGATGCCTTATCCTAGCTTATTGGAAGGTAAATAGGGCCAGCCCACAGGGAACAACACCCTAACCCAAAAAGCAATTTTTTTTTCCTCTTCCTCAAAATAAGTTGGCCTATTTTCAAAAATTCATGGAGCAGCAAAGCAGATAAGTATGAAAATCTTAAAGTGACCATTTTCCACATTATATTACTACCATATAGCTGCAACTATGGTTATGAAATTCAACATGAAAGATTATCCTTCTCCAAACATGGACTAGGGATGGTGGTAGTCTAGGTTGGGTGACATTAATTTATTAAGCGAGATTATGTTGTTAAAATTCATCATAATGACAAAGACAGAAATGATCCACCATAATATAATAAGTACATGTACTATGCATTTTACCATGCAAAGGTATTTATGGTGCATGTATTTATTTGGTGGGGATCTTTTCAGTGCTAAATTTGTTTCCAGAATGAACATTTAAGTCATTTTATTCATTCATTTAATGACTGTTTATGGAGTACTTTGGCGATCTGGGGAGCTATCTAGTGCCTGGGGATTTAGTGGTGACTAAAGTAAAATTCATGCTGTCAAGGGCTCATTTGGGGAAACAGACTATAAACAAAGGAATGGTCAGTGCTTGGGGCCAGTATCTATAAATCTCATTTTGTCTTTTATTTCATGGTCAAGTATTTGTGTCAGTTTCTTCTTTTTCAACAATGTAATACGTGAAGTATTGTATTATCCTTGTAATAATCTCCCCCCTCCTGTTCTTATTCTTTCAGGTTTTGGAGAATTTTTTTGTATCTCCTCTCAATCCCTGTCCTTTTCCCAGTTTTCTTTAGCAGCTACACTCCAGTGATCCAATTGACTTAAGATTTGTTGAGGCATTTATTTGACTTATTAAAAACCTCCGCACTCACGCATAAAATGATCAGATGACTGCAGTGTGTAAATGGAGCTGCAGACTTGTGACTGGAGGCAAGGAAATCAGTATAAAACCTTAGGGAACAGCGTAAACGCGATTTCAAACTCCCCTGGAAAAATAAATGACATATTGAGATTGTTTCTCATACATAAAGGAGTTTAAAACCACAGCTTGTTTGAAAAGGGAGAAATTTTATAAGTATGTAGCTTTCAGGGCCACACATTAAAAATGCGTTGTGGGCATAATTGGAATTTGTTCTCCTGCTGGATTCCATTCGGTGCTCCACACCTTTTCCTGCCACGTTACCATTTCTGCACCTTAGCTATGCTCAGCTTGCCCATCCAGTTAGGACTTCCTTCCTAGCTAGGAGTCCATCTTCAGGTACAAAATTTCACCAGCGATAAAGCTCCATTCAACATTTACCTGTCAAGGGGCCATTTTTCCTTTAGGTCCTGCCCTTTGCTCAATGCAGTGTAAAATATACATGGTGCTAAAATGATCCAATAAACAATTTCTTCCTATGCTTTAATCATCTTGACTATCTGATTTAATCCTTTTGAACCTGAAAGAAAAAGGCATTTGTATAGTTCAGAATTACTCATGATGTCTTAGCTTGGACACTGGAGCAAAGCCAGTGGAACCTGAGCCTTTGCCTTGTCACGGTGGTTTCCTGCTGGATGATGTTCAGAAAATTACTTCTTGTCTGTGAGTCCCAGCCTCTCTGTCCATAAGAAAGAGAGCAATAGTAACTACTTTGATCTTTTGCTAAGTCTACATGTAATTAGCATTTTCAAAGGGTAAAGTGACAGACTGATGATAATAATTAATTTGGGTTATTTTAAATTACATATTAGCCTAATTAAAATACATCAGCGCCATAAGCATTAGGGTTAACAGGGTAATATTTAGATACTCTCAGAGGTGCCTGTCCAACATGCACTGTGAGCCTTGTGTCATTGTGCTTTTTTCTTCTTTTGGTTCTGTATCACTATATTTATTTATTTATTTATTTATTTATTTATTTTCTCATTGAGTTTATTGGTACATTTTAGGTATACAGTACAGTTACATTCATTTTTGGGATCTTGTACCTTTACATGACAGGTCTTGGTTCTCATTTTCTTTTTTTTTTATTGAGTTTATTGGTACATTTTAGGTATAAAGTGCAATTACGTTCATCATTGGGATCTTGTACCTTTACATGACAGGTCTTGGTTCTCATTTTTTCCCCCTTGTCTGTGCTATATCACTATTTAAAAAAATCAGAACCTTATTGGACTGCTTTATGATAGGTATCATGTGAAATTTTAATTTTAATTTTGCTATTTATAGTAATGGAGAAAAAAAGAAGTGAGATAAGTATAAGATCTATAACCATTGAACTAAAACTATAGAATTTCATTTTAAACTCCCCAAGCCTACTTTTAAGAAATCACTGATTAAGATACATGTAACTATTGGCATTACAGTTTCATTAAAATCTTGACATCTGATGAAGAATTGTAGAGTAGATAGAATTTCAGTGTGTTCAATGTAATTGTTCTTTGGGAGAAGACTCTAGCAGGAATTAATGTTCACAGAAGAGTTCCTTGACCTTGAATTGTTTATCCATAGTCTTCAGGATGTTTTGGAACCGACTCTCATTGTGTAGAACAGTGTAACAGACTACATATATCTTTTCTGGGGTGCGGGTTTAGTAATTCTCATAACAGTCTTAACGGGATTCTTATTCTGTGAAAGGTTAAGAAACAATCATATGACATTAATAGTTCATTTTAGGAAAATACATACAAAATATGTGCTTTGTATACCTGTTCAATTGTGAACATCATCAATGTGTCATCTCAAAGGCTTATAAAGTTAAAAATTTCAAAACTTAAGAAAAATTTAAAAAATACTACTTACTTTTTGCCTGCTGTAACATACTTGTTGAAGAATATATGACTTTTAGATATTGCTTCTCCAATTTACCTATGATCCAGAAATCATTCCCTCTCTTCTCCCCTTCTTTTCTGTTCTGGCTTCTGTGTTAAACTTCCTGTTTTGCCAGGATGACCAAAAATATTGGTGATGATGGAGGTGGTGATGACAACACTTTCAACTTTAGCTGGAAGGTGTTCTGCAGCTGGGACTACCTGATTGGCAACCCAGAAACAGCTGACAATAAATTTAATTCCATCACGATGAACTTTAAGGTAGAGATAGAAACTTCAAAAGCTTGTTCTTGTATTTCTCAGAGTAACATTGGAGACATTCCACATGGTCTTGTTAGTGAAGCATTTTGATAATTAGAAAAAAGATGAATTCATCACTCTGCCTATAAGGACTTGGCACAGTTCCAATTATGGCTGGGAAATAATATTCCACGATCCACAATAGCATTTTTATCCCTTGAGTACATTTCTTCTCTGAATTTGGTAATAAACTAATAGTACTGTACTTCATTGAAACAGGAGATCATTAGTAATCAGAATCAGATAGCTTAAATAGTAGGAAAAATGCTCACTAATACAGGCATAAATTCAATATTTAAAATTACTCTATAACATTATTTTGTAACTATAAAAATTATATGGGACAGAGTAAAATGAAGACTATTTTAGTATTTTAGAGTTTTTTTGCAAGAATTTATCCTTTCACTCATCATCCTGGGCACTATTCACCTGCTTAGTGGAATTCTAGATTGAGTTTACATTATTGCTTGTCATACTTCTGAGTTCTTGATAGATTTTGTTGCTAAGATCTTTGTTGGGTTTTGTTTCGCTTGGCTATAGGAAGCTATCATTGAAGAAAGAGCAGCTCAAGTAGAAGAAAATGTCCACTTGATCAGATTCCTGAGGTTTCTTGCCAACTTCTTCGTGTTTCTCACACTTGGTGCAAGTGGATACCTCATCTTTTGGGCTGTGAAGCGATCCCAGGAATTTGCGCAACAAGATCCTGACACCCTTGGGTGGTGGGAAAAGAATGAAGTTCGTCTCTGCATGCTTTTTATGTGCTTTGAACCTGATATTTGCTGTTTTCTGGGTTATGTTTACATGGTGGGACCTTTGATAAGGTCTCTAACTATCCCCCCACCTTGCCCTTTCGATTAAGCAACTTTATTGCACATATTTCACGTATTCCCGTCTTATTCCCAAACCTGTACTGTCTTTCATTTTGTGTCGTCATAGAATGTTAGAATCACGGCACATATTAGAAAACATATAATGCAACTATTTCTTTTTTATTTTTAACAGATGAGATTATGAATTAAAAGAGATTGGTGATAGGTTTATGGTCAAAGAGGAGAAGAATTAGGGTGAGAACCCAGGAGTATTTGATTTGAACTCTATGTCACTTTATTTGAGCTCATTTTATTTTCCCTGAAGATCTTGCATGTGTCACTGAAAGATCCATTTTATGAATTCTTTGAAACATTTATGATAAAGCCATTGGTTTCTATACTTATCTTACTACAAGCTTAAAGACTTCTTCCAAGCTTTTGGTTTTCTTCTCTTTTTCATGAGAATCCTAGTAGGACATCTTCAGTCTCTTTCTCTCAGGTACCTTACTGCTCTTCTATTCAAAGGTTGAAGGCCAGCTGCTGGCCATGTTTACCTTTACAGTATAGAGAAACATTACAGGTAGACACTTAGGATTAGGAAATCATTGGTCATAAATTGTCTCAAGGAGCTAGTTTAAAATGTAGCATTATTTTGAACTTGGACATTTTCAAAGTACATGCATATTTAGGTTGCAATTAGTGCAGATTTTCCATGCAAAACTTTGTAGACCAAAAAAAGATAAATCCTCATAAGGATGGAATTTCTTATACAACCAATGATATAGTTTACTTACAAAGAAAAGGTTGCAAATGAAAATTTTCTAGTTATTTCAGAACTGGGAAAAGTAGAGATGGAAAAACCATACATTTAAGAGACCATACTATAATTTCATGGACATTTCATGGAAACTTGTAAAATAGAAGTAGAAGGATTTTTTTCAAGAAAACAAAGAAATACCTTAAAGAATTTAGTGTTTGCTTTTAAAGTTACTTTTAATAATTACAATAGTAAATATAGGTAAATGATCATACAGCTTTGGTTCTTGGTTCATATTAATAATTTTAGTTGAAATAAACCATATTAAAGATGAGTGACTGATTATCACTAAGGGACCACTCTGTAAGAATCTATTTAACATCCGTTTTAGGGAATCCCTTAGTCATAGAAGTCAATGAGGGTAATAATGAGGATTCATGAGTAAATTTAGCTCATAAAGTCAAATAATTTAACTTTACCTTATACACAATTGCACAGGATCTGCTAGTTTTCTGAGTTAGGTTGAAATTATGCCATGTTGATTTTATATTATTTCATGCTGAGTTTTCTATCTTATCGATCACATTGATACAATGTTCTTAATAAAAATGGAGAAGCATTATCAATTATTTTCTAAATATAGTCTGGTAGTTATAGTCATTCAAAACATGGTGTGAGGAAATGAAAATAGGAAATGTTTACTGGTGATGAGTAGAGTTAGGTATTTGGGAAAGACACAAGAGTTACCCAAAATATTTTTTTCTCATGATAAAAAATATGTCATGTTCTGGATTCTCATCTTTGATTTATTTAACCTAGTAATATAATCATAAGGGTGCCAAACAGGAGATAAGAACAATATATATTTTCTCTCTTTTGTATTTTCCACTTCTTTTATTCTCTCTCTTGCTGTCTCTGTCTCTGTCTCTCTCTTGTGTCCCTTGCCCTACCTCTTTTCCTCTTTTATATCATTTGTTCTCTTGCCTATGGCATTATAGGCTAGTTTTAACTTTTATACCTAGGCTTTGATAACATTATAAATATATACTCTTTTTGTTTTTCTGAATGTCTTGTTTTCTTTTGATAAAATTCATTCCTTTAAAAAAATCTGTATAAATATTAATTCTCCAGGATTCAGTACTTAGTCTGAAGTCAATCTCAGGGAGTTCATCCATTCTAACCAGTTTGACTAATGATGTATTGATAATAGTTAAATTAGTATTCCTAGTTTTAACCACATCTTCAAGGAGATAATTTTCCACTTCCTTTAAACTCTTATAGTAAAATGTATTGCTACATCAGAATCAGTACCATATAGAACATTATGCGTGCTCTGGAAACAAATCATTACTAGTAAGTATACAACTTAGACACATGTACATTTTGTGAACTGAATGTGAGTATTCTTTGTTGTTTTATTGAGACTAAATTCTAAAAAAAATGCAAGGAATGGGGCTAGGGATTTAGCTCAGTGGTGCCAGTGCCTGCCTTGAAAGCACAAGGTTGGGAGTTTGATCCTCATTAACAAAACAGGTGAAAAACTGCATGGAACTATCTTCTTTAGTCTTATACAAAATCAATGGAACCTTACTGAAAGTCTTCCATAATTCTGAAGAAAAATAATAAAAAATTTTAAACACCATTAACCTGGTTCATCCCTTGTATTTGTTACAGATGAACATGGTTATGTCCCTCCTGGGGATGTTTTGTCCAACACTGTTTGACTTATTTGCTGAATTGGAAGACTATCATCCTCTCATCGCTCTGAAATGGCTACTGGGACGCATTTTTGCTCTTCTTTTAGGCAACTTGTATGTATTTATTCTTGCCTTGATGGATGAGATTAACAACAAGGTAAGCCTGGTATCTTTACCATCAGTGTGCTGTTAAATTCTGTCTCAAGATTCCAGAAATGCCTTTGAAAACAGTGTGGTCTTAGTTTTGTTTCTATATCTTTGCGCTCTAGATTGAAGAGGAGAAGCTTGTGAAGGCCAATATTACCCTGTGGGAAGCCAACATGATCAAAGTCTACAATGCATCCCTCTCTGGCAATACCACTGGGCCACCCTTTTTTGTTCATCCTGCAGATGTTCCTCGAGGACCTTGCTGGGAAACAATGGTGGGACAGGTAATGGCATGAACTGAAGTATAGCAATTAGTCAATTAAAAAAATAACAGTCAGTATTTGTTCCAAACGTGTTTCCTAGGGTCCGGGGTTTGGCTCAGTGGGTTCTGCTGCTTGTTATGCAAAGGCCCAAGTTTGATCCCTGGTACAAAAAACAAACAAACAGAAGATGTGTTTCCTATATTTGCTTATTAGTAGAAATAGCTAAGATCTATTGAATATTCAGTGTTTGCTGACTCTTGAATTTCATGCGCATCTCATGCAGTCCTCACATACATCCCTTGAAATAAATACTTCTTGTAGGCTCATTTTACACTTGGATATAAACACACTGATGTGAGAGTTGTACTCTCTGCTTAGGTTCTTCTAAAGCACCCTGATTTAAATACAGACTCAAATTAGTATTTAAATGGAATTCTATGTAGTGTTACTTGTTTGCCGTAAAAACAGAACAACACAAAAATAGAATCTTTGGGGATCACACACTAATACTAGTTTTAGTAATGTCAATTTTTGTCAAACAGTTTCCTTAAGACTCAGAGGACAAGGGGGAAAAATGAGAACCAAGACCTGTCATGTGAAGGTACAGGATCCCAGTAATGAATGTAACTGTATTGTAGACCCAGATTGTACCAATAAACTCAATAAAAAAGAAAAAAAAAAAGACTCAGAGGAAATGTTTTATTTGTTCTCATAATGAATATGTAAATGATGCCAGTCTTAGACAAATGATATTTTACCAGAGAAAAGAAATAATGTTGCACATGTCTTTTTGTCCAGGAAGGGAAACCAAGCCAAATAAAATCAAACGAAAAACAAAAACAACAAAAATATCCATGTCAGGATCTCTTATTTCTGTATAGATCCAATTTAAATTTTGAAAAGCCTATAATTATATCTCATTAGAATTTACATTCTTAATGTGCATGTGTTAAACTCATTTGGGACTTCAGCTCATGACTGAGAATGGAAATTTTAAAATATAGTGCTTATTTCTGTTAGACAACAGTTCAGCAGTAATGCCTTTGGAAATTACTTGAATTTTTTGCAATTTTTAATTTTAAGATAAACCAAAATTGAATAATCAATATTAGTCTTATTAAACTAAAATAACTTAAGCAATTATAAGCATGGATAGATATCTTCAGCCTCAATCAGATGCTCATTGGATTTAAGCCAATCAATTATGATTTCAATTATAGGAAAAAATTAATGTATATAATGCATATAAATGTATCTAAATAAATGTATATAATGATGGACAGACACACTAGAAGGCAGACTATAAAATATGGTATAAGGATTGTATTTTGCTTTATTTTTAACCTTTTAGGGTCCAGATAAGTCCCCCTTACTTATGTGTTATTAAGTGTTCGATGTTCAGATATGCATGTTTCATACATGCTTATAGGAGCAAGTTATAAGTGAAATCATAAGTGAAAAAAATTTGTCTTCACTTACAAGAGAGATATTTATGGTCTAGGGTTTGATAGACAGAATAACGGCCCCCAAATTATCCATGTGCTAATGCCGGGAACTGTGAATTTGTTATCTTACATGGCAAAATAGGCTTTGCAGTGTCCAGTGTGTGTCCATGGTTGCATAGAGGACGAAGATTACTCGGAGATGAGATTGAGTTCAATTACTGAGAACTCAAAGTGGTATAAAAGAGCCTCAGGGAAATAGCAACTAACCGAGACCTGTGTGGTTATTTATTTGTAACTCAAGGACATGATAGCAAAGATGTAGAAGAAAAGCATTTTGCAACATATTGTATAGGAGCTTTTGTCGGGGAACAGGGCAGGAATGGGATGGTTTGTTACATGACTCATGTGGACCTAATTCAAGCAGCCTCATCCAGGCAGAGGGGACACAATGGCCAAAACAAACATCTCAGACCATAACTTGATCTTGACTCTGCTGACTGTGGTCCTGCAGATTGTGCTCTCATCTGTAGCCATGCGTTCCAGGAGCATGGGAACTGCTGTTGCCCAAAGTCCCTTTCTTAGTGCATGCAAGTTCAATCACTCCTTTGGCCAGCATCTCCCCACAGTGCAGATGTGATTAAGGTAGGGATCTTGATCTAGGATTATCCTGAATTATGTGAGTGGGCCTGAGGAAATTGCAAAGGTCTTTATAAGTGGGTGTAAAAGGGTCAAAGCCAGAAAATTGAGATATGACAGCAAAAGCAAAGGTGAGAATGATGAGCTTTAAAGACACAGGAAGGGGGCATCATCTAAGCAAGTAATGTGGGAGCTTCTAAGAGTTAGGAAAAGCAAAGAAACAGATTCTCCCCCATGTTTGCACTTTGACTTTAAACTTCTGACTTCCAGAGTCATATGTAGCAAAAGGCATTTTAATTGTTTTGAGTTATACTAAATTTGTTATAGAAGCAATTAGAAATGAATATTCATGGATTCACAAGTTTCCATGTTTCAAGGCTGTTTGTAGTGAAATATGGTCTTGATGTTTAACATGAATCTGTTTTACCCATCTAAACTGCCACCTAAATCTTCAGCACAAGTTTCAAGAGCTGAAAATATCAAAAAACACAGTTTTCACAAACTCAGAGTTTGAGATGTTTTCTTCTGTTCATCCTGGAGATCAGGCTGACATGAGGGTTGACAAATCTACTTGTTAGTAAGCGGACACCCCTTGAACAGGGTTAATAGAATTAACAGTGGAGGATAGAATCTGGGCGGGCCACTTCTGGGGAGGAGGATGAATTCACTCTAGGGGAATATTTATGTTAAACTTCTTTGATTTCCACGATACTGACTTAAAACAGAAGAAATGACAGTTACTTAATTCTTCTTGGAAGCCCTCGGACTATGCTGCTTGTCTTTTCTTTCTTTTTAATGCTGTTGATAGTGATTTTTCTTGCTTCATCCTCTTTCTTTACCGCTAGCTGTAGTTGGAGTTCCTTCTTTTCTTCCAAGTTCTTTCTCCCAAGGAGCATAAAGCAACTTGTAACGAAAGTCTGGGGAGCTGGCAGGTGGAAGGAATAGCAGCTCTGAATAGAGTGCTGTTGAGGCAGGAGGAACCCATGGGAATAAAAGGGGGCATGCTGGGCATAACAACTTCTAGTGGTGGTGAGGTAGATATGCTGGCCACAACAACTTCAAGTGTCCTTTAATCAATAACTGTATACTTGCACCTAGAAACACTTCTATTCTTCAGTCACGTATGAAAGTGAAGAAGTTGTAAAGGCAGGTGAATTTATGTCATGTTGATGATGCACCCTAAAGGCTCATTCATTGTCCTATGAGAACACCGCAGAAGTTTCCTGTTCTCCATGGATGTATTCTGCTTGGTTTCTGCAAGAATCCTTTGATACTCTATAAATCTCTTCATTCAACGTGAAGGCAATTTATCTGCTCTTTTAACTGTACAGCGATTTCCAAGTAATCATATAGTCTCGTCTCTAATAGCACTTGATAAACAGTGCAGTCTTTCTGGGGAAACATCTATTTGAAATTACAGCGGTACCTTGGTTCATGAACTTAATTTGTTTTATGATTTTGGACAAGATGGCCACGTTTGTGCTTATGTGGGGAAGATGGCCACAGTTGTGTTCATTACTGGATGTGGAGTTGGTGAACGGGAGTAAAACTTTGTTCAGTACGTTTTTTTTGGAAGCCAAATGGTTTGTGAACTGAGGCATTACTGTATATTTACTGAGGTCTACATTTTGGAGGAGAAAAAGAAGCCAAATGCTAAGGATAACATTGGTTGGCATTTGTTAGGTAATTTTAATGTGCCAAGCATTACCTCATTGAATTTTTAAATTAAGCTCTGAGATATGTCTTATCATTCTAATTTTATGGATGGGGAGACTGAGATTTAGAAATGTCATGTACTCAAAACCTCACAAGACGTCAACGAGAGGAGCCAAATATAACCTATATAGTTGGGTTAAGCTTGTGTTTTTGTTCATAGTTCTGGACCAATCCCTGGAAGCATAATTAGCCCAGGACACGTCTCCAAACTCCTGGCTTGCAATATCTATGGTCTGTTTCCTTTTATGATCCCTTGCCCATTCTTTTGCCTTTATCTATCGGTGAGTGCTTTTAAGTTTGTTGTTCAAAGTTGCCCCAAAATTTCAACAAAATGTCTTGAGAGTACATTTTTCAGGGGTGCAATGTGATGGTTGACAAGAAGCCTGTGTGGAGGCCGTGTGTCCCCTCCTGATTGGATTGTTAGGAAATGGAAGTAGATGTCATCTCTGAGGTGGCCTGGGACCGCCATTGTGGTGATTTTATTTTCTTCAGAGCAATGAGTTCCTCTCGTGGTATATGGGTAGATATTTAAACTTTATAACTTTGAGTCTTCTTCAGCTGTTTTTGTAAAAGTTATAATTTTTTCTTATGTTTAATTTTTATCTTGGGAGAGAGTAGAATTTCAGCCATTTGGATGAGGATGCTTAGGAGGATGTGAAGGATTTCCTAATCACCTGAAATTTTCTTTTACTTTTGGAAGGCTTCCTTTCCTGGTAGTGGAAATTGAAAAACACCTCTCAGGTCATCTCCAGTTCATATTAATTATTAGGACCTGAGCTCAGCATTGATGGGAATACAAAGGAGAATGAGAATAGAGAAAAGAACATTTATATAGCAGAATAACTTCAGGAATCCACTGTTCCTGACTCACTCATTCATTTATTCCTTACTGAATGAGTGCTAACTATGAGGCACTGTGGTAGATACTAGAGATACAAACGGAAAGAAAGATGGGCCTATTTTCAGCTGGTTCTGCTGTTTTAGCTGAAGTTTGCAGACTAAGATCTTCCTTGGCCCATTGTTCCCCATAGGTGAATGGAAGTGTAGGGCCTGTGCTGCATTTTGGGTGCATATAGCCCGAGCTGTCATGTTTGTGTGAAACCACACACAAGGAACGCAGTCTGGCTGTACTCATTGGAATGACTGCCTGTCTGCAGTACTGATTTTCAGAGTGTACCTACATCAGGCTTCTATAGTAAATGGTGGTTTGGCGTAGAAAGTACACAAAATTTTTACACAAAAATTGCAAGTATACAATGGCAGCAAAACACTATAAGGATAAAATGCATAGGGACTGAGAGCTCGTTATAGAGAGCTTGCCTTTATCAGGAAGATTAGGGAGACTTTCCTAAGTTAGTAATGCTGTAATAATAATTGTAATAATTGTAGTAGTAATAATGCTGTAATATTAATGGGCACAAACTGAATCAGAAGAGAATTAAAAGTGAACGGTAAAGTGAAAACCATATGCAAAGACACTGTGGTCCGAGATGATTTGGGATTTGAGGGTTGAAAGTATGCCAGTGAGGCCAGAGTAGAGAGGACCAAGGGAGGGGAGATACAAGCAGAATACAGAGAGCGGATGTGTGGGTCCCGGAAGGGCGAAGAGCCCAGCTGTGACCGCTTCCAGCACACTGTTGGGGAAAGGCGGTCTCTCTGTTTCTGTATCCTTCTTCCCACTCTGTACTCTTCTTCTCTGAGATCACGTCTCCAGGTAGATCACTGCTCACACATGTGCTAATGTTGGCGGTGATGAATGCTAAAGCACCGTTTAAAGCTTCCAGTGAGTTTTCAAGAAACTTTGCTTTTATTACATTTATATAATTACATTGTCTATCTATCTATATCTATCTATCTATATCTTCTCTTTATGGCAGGTGATAATAGTAGCACTACATCTTTTAAAGATAAAGTATAGTACAGTTTAAAGAGATACTAGATCATCATATTTTGTGTGATACTTTGATGTAGCTATGATCATGAAGGTGGCCCATGACAGCCTGGAGGTTAGGAAGCAAAACTCTGAAGGATGAGGCTGGAGTTTTGTCTTTTGAGATAATTTACTGGTTGTTTTAGAGGGAAGGTTACTGGAAATAAAAATCAAAAGACTAGAATTCCTGCAAAAATATGACTTAAAAACAAAGAGGGAACAGTAGGAGTGAATTATGTGATGAAAATTTACTACTGTGTCTACATTCTTACATTTAAGGTTTATTGTCATATGATTTCTATGAGAAAATAGTAACTTCCCTAAGTCATGATCTACAGTTTGCACATACATGTCAAACCAACACCACAGAAGTGACCATTCTTGAATTCTACAGATGCCCAGTTAACATCTACGTAGGCGTGTTATGCACATACACACATTCATACGTGTATTCTTACAGCTTCATTAATGAGTGAGTTTATGCTGTAATATCCTGATTCACTGAGGCTTGTGTCTGCCAGCAATTCAGTTTGCAAGCAAAAGCATTTGACAAAATTTTCCTTCTGTTCACCAGTTCCTCTTGGGGTGACAAACACAACCATGGCCATCTTCTTCATACAAACACAAACATCGCCATCTCTCCCCAAGTCCTAAAACAAATTGAGTTTGTGAGCTGAAGTATCACTGTGACACATATCTTATTTTGTAGAATTTTTCCATGGTTTAATTTTTATTTTTATTAGTAATTGTACATAATAATTTAAAATACACAAGATAATTTAAAATCCTACAAGAGAATTTTAGCACTTTTAAAGCACTTTTTTGAGGTATGATTCATACACCACACCTTTTATCCATTTGAAGTATATAATTCAATACCAGATAAAAATATTAACTTGCTGTGTGGTTATATTTTCTTTTATTTTTATGTCATACCTATAAAACTTTCTCAATAAGAAGAAGGCTTTTTGATGTAGTGATTTGAGGATGGGAAATGATTATTTTTATACTAAAAAAGATAGGTGAATTATTTTTCATTTGCTAGATATGTCCAGTTGTTTTCTTCTTTTACTTTTGTTTTGATTGCAGCCTTCAAGCCAATAATTTTTAAAAACATGACAGTTTTATACGGAAGTGGTACCTTCTGAAGATAGAAATATGTGTTTTAATACAGATAATATCTCAACAGGAATTTGTGCGGCTGACTGTTTCTGATGTTCTGACGACGTATGTCACGATCCTCATCGGTGACTTTCTCAGGGCGTGTTTTGTAAGGTTTTGCAATTATTGCTGGTGCTGGGATTTGGAATATGGTTATGTAAGTATGATTTTATTAGTTTTTCTTTTATCAGACTTTTATCTCTTGCATCATTTACACACACTATGCACAATGAAGGGCATCTCAGAGTTTGATGGGTGAGATCACCTTTTTAGGTGTTAGGTGTCAATAAACGATAGCAAGTAAGATGAAGAGGCCAGACTTGAGTATCATGGTTTTAAATTTTGAGGTAAAATTAAGACAGGATGGCTAATGAAATGATCCTCAAGCTAGGATGTTAAACTGAATCCTCACTTAAAACACTGAACTTAGGGGGCCTAGGAATTTAGCTCAGTGGTGCCGCACCTGCCTTGCAAGCACAAGGTCCTGAGTTTGTTCCCTGGTACAAAAAAAAAAAAAAAAAAAAA